CTCTCTCTCTCTCTCTCTCTCTCTCTCTCTCTCTCTCTCTCTCTCTCTCTTTCTCTCTCTCCAATACTAGCCTGTAAAGGTGGCGCCTGGCTGCAGGTACATCGAAGAGGAAGCTGGAGCTATGGCGCCGCAGGTGAGTCTCCCTGGCCTCCGCCAACCATCTCTCTCTCTCTCTCTACTAGTGCCCAGCGCTGAAGACTACTACTACCGCTACTACTCCAGAGTGTCGCTGCCGAGTCCTGAAGACTACCTCCTGCTCTCTCCACGTGAAGTGTCTGGGAACTACCTGCAGCCTAAAGGGCGGGTCAGCATTATATAGTGTTGGCCCGTCCGAAAGGCTGCTCGTGCCTATGCCAAAACATGCCAGACCCTGGGGTTGATGCTCCACAAAATAAGCCATACTGGCCCAAGCTAAAACCCCGGTCTGGTGCCTGAGTTTCAGGGTAGGTCGATCTTGTGAGGGCCGGGAAAATGGCCCGACGTTTTCAGGCTGGAGGCCGAAACGACACAGGGCCTGAAACAGGCCCTACCCCTACGGACCCTTAGTCTACCAGGTCGGGCTCTGTTGGGCCCGTGTGGTACGGAGTATGCCACACTCCCCCCTCCTTGAAAGATTGAGCTTACCTGCGAGGGCGAAGCTGTCTGGTGGAGGGAGGGACTGAAGTCCGGGTGGGAGGCTGTGCAGCTTCCGTCGCTAGCCGTTTCTTCTCATAATGAGCATAGATGTCAGGAGCGGAGGCTCGCAAAGCTGCCCGGGAAATCCATAGCGTGTCATCGGGGTCGCACCACTTGAATGTGACTTTGTACTTCATAGGCTTGTTGTCGTGCTTGCGATGCGTGATGACGCGGTCGACTTCCTGATGACCATCCATGGAAGGAGGGTCCGATGATCGTTGTCCCGGGAAGTCGATGCTCTTGGCTGGTGTATATGTGGCCAACTTGGAGGCGTGGAAAACCGGGTGCACTGTGAGATGCGGTGGGATATCGATGACAAATGAGGGGCCATCGGGCTCATCACCCGCGGCTGATGTGACGGGCCATGGTCCAAACCACTTTGGAAGTAGCTTGCGGGATACATCCTGCTCGAGTGCAAACTCTTCAGTGGAGACCCAAACAAGGTCGCCGCCGCGGATGGGGCATGGCACGCGACGCCTATTAGCTTGCTGTTGCATGCGGACTTGAGCCTTTTGCATGTTGGCGCGGGCTTTAGCCAGCAAGTCCCTATACTTCCGAACGGAGGCGGGCGAACAAGCGGCGTCAATGTCGGCGGTCCTTGGAAAAGGAAGATCATCGAAGATGCAGCCTTTCCGACCACCGTGGTGTAACTCGAACGGAGTCACGCCGATAGCCGGGTGCACCGAAGTGTTCTAGGCGAATTCGATGTTGGGGAAGCGGTCCACCCAATCCTTCTGATCCGTACGGATTTGTGTGCGAAGCATTACTTGAGCGGTTTGATGTGCCCGCTCCGTCTGCCCGTCCGTTTAAGGATGCCGAGCCGAACTTGGTTTCATCTCGATGCCGGACTCTTTCATGAGAGAGGTCCAAAATGCCGACATGAAACGAGTGTCGAGGTCGCTGACGATATCTTCCGGAATGCCGTGGCCGCAAATCCAGCGGGTGTGTAAGAGGCGTGCAAGTTCCGGAGTCATGGCGTAGTACTTGCAAGGAAGAAATCGTGCGTACTTGCTCAAACGGTCAACGACCGTGAGAATGCCGTCGTGCCCGAAGCGGTCCCGGGGGAACGGGCCAGTGACGTCCATGGCAATGGAGAGGCCGGGTTCCCGTGGAATAGGCAACGGGTGTAACTCACCGTAGGGGTTGCAATTGCGAGGTTTACTTCGTCAGCAAACTTCGCAAGAGTTGCAATATCGAGTGACGTCGGTAATGAGGCCGGACCACCGGAATCGTTGCCGAAGTCTTGTGATCGTACGGTTGATGCCGAGGTGGCCAGCGAGTCTCGAGTCATGGTACTCTCTAAGGAGGCGAGTCCGTAGGCGACGGTCATGTGGGACGCATAGTAAGTCCTTGCCGCGTGAGTGAAGCAGCAAGTAGCCATCGACGACGGGATAGTGGCTGGCCGGCGGGTGATCCGAGGATAGTTGCTTGTAGAGCGTAGCGTATTCCGGATCGGACTTGTATGCTCACACAAAATGCTGATGAAGGGCTTCGTTGAAACTGAACGCGTGGTGAGTCACTGCGCAAAGATCTGATCTTCGCGAGAGAGCATCCGCGGCTCGGTTGGAGAGACCCGGAATGTGTTTCGGTGTGAAGTCGAACTGATCGATGAAGTACATCCACCGAGCAATCGTGCTGCTCACCGTGTCTTGTGTCGTGTAGTAGGTCAATGGATTATTATCCGTCACCCAAGTGAACCTACGACGCCCGAGGAGGAAGTGTCGCCAACGCTTGAGTACCGTGATGAACGCGAGCAACTCCTTCTTCCGCGCATCATCAACCGAGTTGATGGGAGGCACCTTTTGGCTGAAGTACTCAACCGGATGCCAATCTACTCCATCGTGTTGTTCCAAAACTGCACCCATCCCGTAGCCGGAAGCGTCCGTAGTCACTCTCGTCGGCAAGGTAGGATCGTAGATACTCAAGACGGGGGCGAGGAGCAACGTCGTCTTCAATTTGTGGAATGAACTGCGGACTTCGTCGGTGAACTGGAAGGGCACCTGTGGAGACTGCAATCTGGACAACGGTGCGGCGATCCGTGTGTATCCTCCGATGAAGCGTTGGTAGTACCCGACCAATCCCATGAAAGAGCGAACCTCCATGGTGTTGGCCGGTTCCGACCAATCCTGAATGGCCTTGATCTTGCTCGCAAGCGGACGGATCGAGCTCTTGCTGTGCGAATTCGCACTTGGCTTGGTTGGCCTTGTACTTGGTCGTACGAAGCCTGTAACAGCACGTAGATGCATGATGTGCTCGTCCAAAGTTCGGCTATACACCAAGATGTCATCGAGATAGATGAGCACGAACCGGCCCAACATGTCACGAAACTACGTTGTCATTGCTGCTTGGAAGGTGGTCGGGGCATTCGTGAGGCCGAATGACATTATGACCCACTCGAAGTGCCTGTACCGTGTCTTGAATGCGGTTTTGTACCTATCTCTTGATGGATCTCGAGCTGGTGGTAACCGGCCTTGAGGTCCAACTTAGAGAAATACTTGGCGCCGCCCAAGCGTTCGAGAAAATCGTCGATGCGTGGAATCGGGCCGGCATTCTTAATGGTTTGAGCATTAACCTTGCGATAGTCAATGCATAAGCGTAGCTCCTTGTTCTTCTTCCGGACGAAGAGAACAGGGGCACCGTAGGGCGAGTAGCTAGGGCGAATCCAGCCCTTGTCAATGAGGTCATCGAGTTGCGTTCGAAGCACTTCGAGTTCCTCCTCGCTCATGCGGTAAATATATCTGCGTGGAGGTACGGCCCCGTCTTCGAGGATGATCTCGTGACGAATTGGCCGATTCGGTATGATTCCGGTGGGGGCTTCAAAGACGTCGCCATAGGAGTCAAGAAGTTGTACAATGCGTGGATCCGGTGGCTGTTCTGCCGCTGGCTCGTCGGGAGGAGGGAGGGCATGCAAGAAACAAATGCCCATTTCCTCCACGTCGTTCCGTGCGATGGAGTTGCGAATGCTTGCCGTGGAGACCACGTGACAACAAATCGAAGGATGAGGTGGGGGGACCGTACATAGCACAAGTACCCCGTTCCGGTCACGAACGTGAACGGTGCGGAGGTAGAGGTTCACCGGGTGGTCCTCGCTACGCAGCCATGACATGCCCAAAATCATGTCGAACTTTGTGTCCAATATGTCAAAGGACACGGCCTCGTGTGCAAGCGGGGCGAAGTACACGGGGACGGAGTCAATGCACCGGTCAATGGACTTGTGCGTACGACCGTCAGCCAACGTGACTTGCGTGGGCTGCGATTTCCTTCGAACGCGCCGCCCAAGGCCGGCGCGGGTCATGAAATCCTGGTTGATGTAGTTGGGAGTAGCTCCACAATCAATCAAGGCGCTGCAGGTCGCCTTCCCGATCTGAATGCGGACGTAGAGTAACGGTGCGTCGGCGTCGTCGTACCGTTGCGTGGCGTACACGCGGTCAATCTTCGCAATGTACTCGCGAAGGTCAACAACCGCTACTCCGTCTTCCATCAACGGAGCTGGTACTGCAGCGTGCAAGTAGTTGCGTAGCTCCGCCATTAGGGCGACGATGAAGCGTTTCCGCCACTTCTCAGTCATGGCCTCCCAAGTGATCTTGGTGTGAAGCTTAGAGACTTTGACGCCCTTGGTTTGAGCCAGGTGGTTGAGCCACACTTGGCTGGCACCGATGCTCTAGAGGTAAAGTGTTGAGATCTTCGACTCGGGCGGGACCAAGTGGATGGAGAGCTCATTGGTGAACCCTTGCCACCAACTGATGGGGTCCGCCTTGTGGTAGTCATCAAACTTGTCGATGCTGAACTTCGGCATCTTAAATTGTTTCGGCATCACGTTGTTGCAGGTCCTAGTTGGTTGCTGTTGCAGTTGACGCAAATCTGCTTGTAGGGCGGCTATTTGCTGGCTGATGGTCATCGGGTGTCGGAAACTGTTCAAATTGCCGACAAGCGCGACTAGGTGATCCAGCCGTCCTTCCAGCTCGCGGATCGATAGCTCGATGCTTAACGATGTCATGTGCCTGTGCTACACGTCATCCTTCTCCAGCATGTCAAGGCGGGCGTGGAGGCTCTTGAGAGTCTCCTCGTACTCAGTAATGGTACGTGCCTGCCGAGCCAGCTCCACTTGTTGCCAGTTACAAGTGAGGATGACTTGGTGCATCATGTTGGCGAGAGCTGACTTAGTCTGGTCCTCCGTAGTTGGTTCCGTTGTTTCCGCCGGATCAACATGCCATGCTTGGAGTGCGGCGGTATGAGCGGCTTCCTGCTGCATGAGGACAAACGCGGCATCTCTTCGAGCTTTGTTGTGGTTGGCAGCTGCGTCAGCTTGCTGCCGGCGTCGTTGCTCTTCTGCGTGTACAATGGCATTAAGGCGTGCTGCTTCGGCTGCTGCCTCGCGTTGCTGCTCCTCTTGGACTTCCTGCATATAGGTGCCCAGGCGGGCCAAGAAGGCCGTCATGGTCTCTCCTTGCTGCCGCACTAGTGCAGTGTCGAGGGTTCCCGCAAAAGTCGCAGTGGAACCCTCCTGTTGGGCCCGTGGGGCCAGGGGGTCGAACTGGACGCCTCGTGTGGACTACCGGATGAGGCATTGTCCACCGTGGGGTTGCCCTAAGTGTCCATTTCAGAGGGGTGGGGCAGAGGTAGTTGCTGTTCTGCTGTGGCTGCCCGCCCTTCCCATGCTGCAATTGCAATCAGACTTGTCTTATTCACACTTTTCATGTATGTAAACAGTAGCACAGCACACTGGCGACATGCGCCCACTCAGAACTTAGAGATATGGCTTCCAGATACGAGTTCTCTTTCAACTGGCTATGGCGACTTAGCGCCCAAACAAGTCACTGTTCACACACTAGATCACCCTGGATATCCCACACACGTCACTCTGAACACTCACACATGCACACACACTCTTCCCACTAACTACAGCTATGGCAGCTATGGCTGCCTCTAACCTATCGCTATGCTAACTCCTCTCTCGCCCACTGCGTCCTCCGGGCTCACTGCAGACCTCCTTGCACAAGTCGTTGTGGCAGCGCTTCCGCATGGCTCACGCAGGAATGAATGAATGGCTGGGTGCTGCCTCTTGATTTATACTTCTGCAGGTCGTTGGTCTGGCCCATTTCCCTTGCCCGAAGTGCACACAGTCCCGTGCGGTATTTGCTGGACTGACTGGGGACTGGGACTGTTGACTCAGCAGGGTAGACTTCCCCCACTTGCCCACTTGGCTCACCACTTGACCACTTGCCTCTGCTTAAACGTGGGCAACTAACGAAAGGCCGCTACTGGGACCTTCCGGAAGGCCGTAGACTTGGCCTTTCGTAACTGTAGCAGCTACGAGTCTGACCCTTCTGGACTGTAGCAGCTACAACCTTGACCTTTCGAAAACACTACAGCTACGGTGTCTAGACCTGACTAAGACTCCTATCCGACAGGTCTACAGATCGAACCCATGGTACCTATGGACCCTGCGACAACCTATCAACTATTACAAATACACAGGTCGCGGGTGCAATTCTACGGGTCGACACAGGTACTGTACACAGGTAAGGTTGGGGTCTAGGGGTCGAACCCTGGGATCTGCAGCAGCTACTGCTAACCGGTGAATACCGTTTCACTCCCACCGTCCTAAATTCGAGGTCCTCCGAGAATAATTCAGTCCAAGGCAGGACCTTTGCCTTTCTGTTCTCTTTCGTAGGCTCTGACTATATGGGGAGCTGTCTCTAGAAGTTCTAACCTTGTAAACCAGCGGTCATCCTCCGGTTCCTGATATGCAAAGCGGACCTTGTACTGTTTCTGAGGACGAACTCTACCTCCTGTTCTAAACACATCCTCCTCTACAATGCCCTCTATGTCATAGCTCCCATCCATATCCGGAGGGATCATGGATCTTCTGGAAGGGAACTGTTGGCTTGTAACACATGGCAACAACTTTGAAGCATGGAACACAAGATATGTGTGGAGGTGTACTGGGATCTGTATAGTGTATGATGGTCCATCCTCTCCGCCCTTGATTTCTAGAACCGGCCACGGTCCTCTATATGCAGGTAGTAACTTTTGCGAGATGTTTTCTTCAGGCGCGAACTCCTTTGCCTTGACCTAGACTAAGTCACCTACCTAAAACTGCGACGGTCGACAGTGCTTATTAGCTTGCTCATTCATTCTATGCTGGGCCTTTCTGAGATTCTCAACAACAGTTGCTAATTCTTTCTCGTGTTGTACCACAAATTCCCTGGTATCGGGCGGTAGTCCGTGAATCTGATCCCGGTTCAGTCCTTCGAACGGTCTGGGCAGCCTAAAGGACTTGTGCAGCTCATTGGGAGTGCGGCAGGTGGATAGATGTACGCTGTTGTTGTAGGCACTAGCTACCTTAGGCAACATCTCATCCCAGTTGATCTGATCTGGTCTAATGTACATGCGCAGAACTTCCTGTAGTATCTTGTTCATCTGTTCTGTCTGGCCGTTGGTCTCTGGATGACGGCCAGATGACATTAACAACTTGGATCCGTACACTCTCATGAGTTCTTGCTAGTTCTGGCTGGTAAAGCGACTATCTCTATCGCTGACTATTGACAATGGGATTCCATTCTCACTAACCCAAAAGTCAAAGAACTTCCGTATCACTAAGTCTGTACGTGCCTCTGAAGGCAAAGGAACAAAAACTGCGTATTTACTAAAGCGGTCAACTACGACCATGACTTGGCTCTTACCATGTCTGCTCTTGACTTGGGTGTCCATGAAGTCTATGGATACTGAGTCGCCCGACTGATCCGGAATAGGCAAGGGTCTGAGAAGACCAAGAGGTGTGCGCGTAGTAGTCTTGTTACACTGGCATGCTTTACAACTGCGAACATTCTCTACGCAGTCATTCTTCATTCCTGGCCAGGTATACGCGCGCATTAGATTGGCTAATGTCTTTTGCTAACCAAAATGCCCCTCCGTATCGTGGCATTCCCCTAAGATTAAACTACGGATCTCTTCGCTGTTGGGAACGTACAAGCGGTCAAACACATTAGTCTTCTCAAACAACAACCCATCTGTAGTGTGGTAATCTGGTTCATCCTCTGGGGCCTCCCTAATTCTCTTTAGGAGGTCGCTATAGATAGGGTCTTGTGCATACGCTTGCTTCACTTTCTCCTGCAGGTCTCTCCCTATATCCAGATAGTGTACTACGGCTCCAAAGTAGTMTRATCTCCTACTCAGAGCATCCGCAACTACGTTGTACTTGCCCTTCACTGGCTTGAGCTCAAAGTCGAATTGGTCTATCTCTGCRGCYCACCTAGTCAACTTAGGTGTCATCTTGGCCTGAGTCTTTAACCATCTAAGSGTTTCATGGTCCGAATACACTTTGAAGTGCCTCCCAAGYAGGTARTGCTTCCAATGGTMTAAAGCCTGCCTGAGAGCGTAGAGTTCTCTCTCGTACGTGGAGGTAGCGACCTTCTCACAGGGCATCCTTGCTGACATGAACTCTACGGGTCTATAGCCATTGCCGTCGTCTTGCTGCAACACGACGCCTATCCCATACTGACTCGCGTCCATGGTGACGACAAATGGCAAAAACGGATCTGCAACTTTGAGGACATGATATTCTATCAACACGCGCTTTAACTTCTTGAGCGCAGACGTACAGTCCTTGTCCCATTGCCAGATTGCATCTTTCTTTAGCAATCTGCGCAAGGGAGCGATGATAGTGGAGAAGTTCTTCACGAACTTCCTGTAGTAGTATACACATTCTCAACTCTCCTTCCTTATTGGGGACAAACAAAACGGGTGCTCCAAAAGAAGACGAACAGGGCCGGATCCAACCTTTCTCGAGGAGTTCGTTTAACTGCTTACGCAGCTCCTCTAACTCTCTAGGGGACATCCTGTAAACTGCACCCTTAGGAGTTCTACTGCCAGGTTCTATCTCTATCCTGTGTTGGATGGGTCGCGACACTACCCCTGTTGGCGACTCCGTCAAGTCTTTGAACTCTTCCAGCAACTTGGCTATGGATGGATCCGTGGAACTTACCTCTTCCTTGCCCTCGGTGATATGTCTAACATACACCACAAATACCTGCTCCTCTAATTGCTCCTTTTTCACTAACCGCGCGGACGCGGGAGCACTGAGACAGCAATGTGCCAAGGTGTTATCTACACCTGACACATGAAACAGGCGGGCCGTCTTAACCTCGCCTGACGGGCTAGGGAGCCTACACTCGTGCTCTCTCAAATGAAGTGTGGCCCCTGCTGCCTCTCCCCAATCCATTCCTAACACTACATCAAAAGGAAGGTCATCCTGTATGAGGAGAGTCAGGGAATGGAGAACTTTTTCCACCTTCCCATCCTTCTCTAGGCGAAAGTACGCCTGGACTCCCTCTACGTAGTCCTCAACGCGCATTGTGCGGTTGTCTGCGAGGACACTGACAATGGGGTCTGCCAACTTTTGGAATTTTAATCCTAACCTCAGCTTCGTCAGCGCCCTACGACTAATATAACTATGGGTGGCCCCTGAGTCTATAAGGGCCCCAACTCTACTTTTGAAAACCTCTACGTCTATCAAGATTAGTTGTCCTTTACTTTCTTTCTTCATCTTGGCCCACGCTGGCATCCTTTTCTTCAACTCTTCTGCCACACCTGTGAGGGACGTGCCTAAAGAGACGCTAACACAAACCGTCTCTGGACAGCTAGCTAGGCACGGGCCTGCAACCTCTGCCATGGGCTCATGTGGGTTGGGAGTGTCCTGTTCGCGCGCGCTCACTTCTCCACATGGCCTTGAAGTAGGGGCAATTGCAACCCCTACTGGCGGCTGCCTTTTGGCTGTTGGGCAGCCCAACGGGCCTGTCTATACTTAGGACAAAATTTTATTACGTGAGCCGGGTCACCACAAAATACGGACTGACCCATGTTCACGCGTTCCTGCCATAACCGCTGGTCCAAGCCCAGATCTTCCCAGGGCCTGCCCTTTGGCAAGCCTAGGTGCCATCCTCCTTGAGGTGCCCTTCCACCTCTTCGYTGTGGGGACCGRTTACCCTKGCGATTTGACGGGGGACCTTGACCCCTACCTCCCACTTGGCGGTTTCCTTGGCCGCCAACCCCCTGCGCGCCCGGTCCTCGGCCTCCCATGGCCTGGCCCCTTTGGCCCTGGCCTCCTCCTCTACCTTGCAGCTTCCCTCCAGCCGCGACAACAGCATAAGACCTCCCCTGCCCTACACTACTGTCCTCCTCCCCTAGGCCCCACTCAATCTGATCATACGGGACCTCGTCTGTACCACCTTCCTCTAGCGTCAGGATCAAGTGATCCTTGGCCTTGACTTGGCCTGAGATGGTACGATCCTTCCACTTCTTCCCCTTCTCTAAGTCCTTATGCCAGAAAGTGGTGATTGGCATAGACTTTGACTCATACAGGACCACCTCCCTACTCAACACATCATATGTGATCCCGGCCTGATGAGACTTGTCAAAAAAGTGCCCCCTCAGGGGCTCTGGCATGGCACGATAAAACAGCTGGACCAGTTGGGGTTCAGTAACCCCGTGGTCCGGGATGGCTACCAAGTCGTCCATGGTACCCTTGAGTGCCCTTGCACTCCTCCACTGCCGTGAGTGGATCGTTTGCAGTTTGTCAGAGGCGCGAACGCCTCTCGTTGGGTCAGCAAATCGCTCCTTCAGGAGCTTAAGGAATTGAGGAAGGGGGTGACTTTTGAGTATGCAACCAGGTTGTTTTCACAACCGGCTGCGCGCACAAGAGACCTGGTGAAACTAGCTGCTTCATCCTTGAGGGCCTGGAAGGCCACGAGGACTTGTTCCTCTGTTAAGATATGCTGCAAATAAATGTAACTGTTGACACTGGCCTCCCAGTTGTCAAAGTTCTCCTCTTTCTTTCCCCCGTACGCATCTGGGAACTTGAGTTTGACAGACTCTTTACGGGATCTGCCCTCGCCCTCTACAACAACTATAGCCTTGGCACCCTTAATGGCGCCCTCGCAATACTTCCGTACATTCTCCCTCAGTTGCCTGACTTCGCCCCCGATGTGGGTGACGATCTCGCGCGCGAACTATCTAAACCCTGGCCGCATGGCCTTCAGGGTAATATCTTGACCCTGATTGGCGCGCCGTTCCTCTAGCCAGGCCTAAATATCCTAGCATCTTATCCATCTTGGCAGACATATCTGTATGCGCCTGGACTTCCTGTCTACACGCCCGTACCTTCTCCACCTCTGCGGTCAACCGGTTGGCTTCCTCCCTTCTCTTCTTCTGCTCCCTTTTCAGCCTCAGCTTCCATTCCAGCCTTTTCTCCTCCTCGGTCCTTAATCAGTCCAAGGGCCTTGGCAAACGCCTCTTTCTCTTCCGGCGGCACATACATTTGTGCCTCCTCATCTTCACCCAACGATAAGTTGGCAACCCACTCAATTATTTTCTTCTCCATCTCTGCGTCTGTGTCTCGCTTCGTGCCACTACTTCCTTCTCTACTCTCAATTCTCATCCTCTCTTTCTCTTCTTCTACTGCCACTTCTTCTTCAACATCCTTCTTCTTTCTCTCCATCTCCTCCTCTATCTCTTTCATCTTCGTCGCCTGTTCCTCCGCAATCACCTTCAACTTCGTCTGCTTTTCACGCTCTTTTCTTTCCCTATTTTCTTTCACTCAGGCGGCCATTTTCTCTTGCTGCTCCTTGCTATAGGGGCTCATGTCTAACCCACTACGGGTCTCAACCATGGTGACAAGTGTACAACCGGGTTAGTGGTTCCAGACCTCACCACGTAGACTCTGACCCCTGACTGACAAACCTATAGACTCAATCTAAGAACTCAAAGAATCCTGACAAGGACCCTGTCAACTATGGTCTTTAGCCTAGACCTAACTATGGCTGTCACTATTGAACCAGTGGCTGATCTGGAGGCATTTAAGGAGATCCCCTGTAACTCCGCAAGAATTCTTTAACGTCGCAGACAGGACGGCGTGATCAGCTTGGTTCTGCTTGTGCTTTCAGCCCACAACTCAGCCTTTCCGGCTTACATTGCCACACCGAGCAGCCCGCCGGTCTGTACCGGTCCTTGGGAGGGTTCGTATCCCCCGGTAGGGGAGTGGTTCAAACAGGCACTCAACACTTAAAGACAGCCTGGTGTGTCAACCCTAATTGTCGTTCAGGCCCACGGAGTCCTACCAACCGTTTCCAGCCGGTCAGCACCGGTCCTTGGGAGGGTTATGCCCCCCTGGAAAGTTGGATCAGCCACAGTCTTAGCCCTACAAGGTCAGACTAGGGTTTCGTCATCCAAGCCCTATCCTTCATCCACAGAGTGCTATCACCTAGGACAGAAGAGACTCAATGCAGAAAGAATAGACTGACTGACTTGACTCAGCAAGTATCGGGGGGTGTGCGCACATCCATAGGGTGAGGGGTAGACTGAAGGCTTGGCGAGATATTACCAACTCCAGCTTGGTCAACGGTCTTGGTCAACACCGGTCAATGCTGCAGTCAACCCCCGGTCAACTCCGACCAACTCCGGTCAACGCCGGTCAATGCCTCTGGTCAACCCTCCGGTCAGCTATGGCTGCCGACCCTTCTTCCGCCAACCCTCTTCTTCTTCTTCACCTTCCTCGCCTCCTTTCAGTCCGCTGTCTTCTTCTTCTCTTTCTCTTTTTCTTTTTTTGATCGGCCTCCTCTTCACCTCTTGGCTATGGCCGCTCCTTCTCCTTCCCCGGTCTCTCCCCCTCTATCCTTCTCCCTCCTTACTTCGTCACTCCGTGATGCAAGCTTCGCGGCTATGGCCGCTGTCTTCTCCTTCGTGGACTGTGGAACAACTTCGCAGGTACGTAACAACCAATCTTGTATCGCTCATCTCTCTCTCTCTCTTTCTCTCCCTCTCTCTCTCTCTCTCTCGCCGTAGCGGTATCTTCAACGCAGCAGGTACGTAGTAACCCAATCTTGTATCACTCACCCTCTCTCTCTCTCTCTCTCTCTCTCTCTCTCTCTCTCTCTCTCTCTCTC